TTATTCCACATTTTCCTTCCATCCTGTTGTTGTTGTTGTTAGGTGCTGTCAAGTCATCTCTGACTCATGAGGATCTTATGTCCAACAGAACAAAACACTGCCCAGTCCTGTGCCAGCCTCACAATCTTTGTTATACCTTAGCCTATTACTGTAGCCACTGTGTCAAGCTACCTAGTTGAGGGCCTTCCCCATATATGTTGACCCTCCACTTTACCAAGCATGATATCCTTCTCCAGGGAATGGTCCCTTCTGACAACATGACTAAAGTAGGTCAGATGAAGTCCAGCCATTCTTGCTTCCAAGGAGCATTCCGGCTGCACTTCTTCCAGGACAGATTATTTGGTTCTTTCAGCAGTTCATAGTACTTTCAGTATTCTTTGCCAACAACATAACTCAAAACCTCAACTCTTCTTCAGTCTTCCTTATCCATCGTCCAGCTCTCACACTCATATGAGGCAATTGAAAATACCATGGCTTGAGTTAGGTGCACCTTAGTCTTTAGGGAGACATATTTGCTCTTCAGCATTTTAAAGTGGGCTTTTGCAGCATATTTGCCCAGTGCAATAAGTCATATGGTTTCTTGACTACTGCTTCCATTGATGTTGATTGTAGAACCAAGTAATATGAAGTATTTGACAACTTCAGTCTTTTCTCCATTTATCATGATGCTGCTTACTGGTCCATTTGTGGCGACTTTTGTTTTCTTTATGTTGAGATGTAATCCATACTACAGACTGTAGTTTTCAATCTTCATCAGTAAGTGCTTCAAGTCATCCTCACTTTCAGCAAGCAAAGTTGTGTCATCAGTGTATTGCAGGTTGTTAAGTCTTACTCCACTCCTGATGTCATGGTCTTCTTCATATAGTCCACCTTCTCAGATTATTTGCTCAGCATACAGATTGAATAAGTATGGTGAATGGATACAACCCTGACACACTCCCTTCCTGACTTTAAACCATGCAGTATCCCCTTGTACTGTTCCAACAACAGCCCCCTGGTCTATGTACAGGTTCTTCATGTGTACAATTAAGTGTTCTTGGAATACCCATTCTTCTCAATGTTATCCATTATTTTTGAATTATCTACAGCAGGATTTTACTTGTGTGTGATATTAATGCTATTGTTTGATAAGTTACACATTCTGTGGGATCATGTTTTTATGGAATGGGTACAAATATGGACCTTTTCCAGTCAGTTGGCCAGGCAGCTCTCCCAAATCTCTTGGCATAGGTGAGTGAGCACCTCCAGAGCAGCATCCATTTGTTGAAAACATCCCAATGAGTATTCCATCAATTCCTGGAACCTTGTTTTTCACCAATTACTTCAGTGCAGCTTTGACTTCTTCCTTCAATACCATTGGTTCTTGATCTTATGCCACCTTCTGAAATGGATGAACATCGACCAATTCTTTTTGGTACAGTGACTCTGTATATTCCTTCCATCTTCCTTTGATGTTTCCTGCATCATCCAATATTTTGTCCATAGAATTTTTCAACATTGCAACTCAAGGCTTGAATTTTTTCTTCAGTTCTTTTCAGCTTGAGAAATGCTGAGTGTGTTCTTCCCTTTAGTTTTCTAACTCCAGGTCTTTGCACATTTCATTATAATAACTGGCTTTGTCTTCTTGAGCTGTTCTTTGAAATCTTCTATTCAGCCTTTTATCTTGTCATTTCTTCCATTTGCTTTAGTGAGTCTCCATTTAAGTACAAGTTTCAGAGTCTCTTCTGACATCCATTTTGGTCTTTTCTTCCTTTCCTGTCTTTTCAATGACCTTTTGCTTTCTTCATGGACAATGTTCTTGATGTCATCCCACAATTCCTCTAGTTTTTGGTCATTGGTGTTCAATGCATCAAATCTGTTCTTTAGATGGTCTCTAAATTCAGGAGGGATATTATCAAGGTCATATTTTGGGTCTCATGGACTTCTTTTAATTGTCTTCAACTTCAACTTCAACTTGAACTTACATATGAGCAGTTGATGGTCTGTTCCACAGTCAACTCCTGGCCTTGTTTTGGCTGAAGATATTGAGCTTCTCCATCACCTCTTGCCACAGATGTAGTCAATCTGCTTCCTATGTACTCAATCTGGCAAAGTCCACATGTATAGCCATCACTTGTGTTGTTGAAAAAAAAGATATTTGCAATGAATAAGTCTTTGGTCTTGCAAAACTGTATCATGTGATCTCCAGTGTTATTTCTATCAACAAGGCCATATTTTCCAACTACCCATGACTCTTCTTTGTTTCCAGCTTTTGCATTCCAATCACCAGTGATAATCAATACATCTTGACTGCATCTTTTGTCAATTTCAGATTGTAGAAGTTGGTAAAAATCTTCAATTTCCTCATCTTTGGTTTTGGTGGTTTGTGCATAAATTTGAATAATAGTAGTATTAACTGGTCTTCCTTGTAAGCGTATGGATAATGTTATATCACAGACAGTATTGTACCTCAGGATAGATCTTGAAACATTCTTTGTGACCCTGAATGCCACACCATTCTTCTTCAATTTGTCATTCTTGATATAGTAGAACATATGGTTGTCTGATTCAAAATGGCCAAAACTGGTCCATTTCAGCTCACTAATTCCTAGAATATTGATGTTCATGTGTTCCATTTCATTTTTGACAACTTCCAATTTTCCTAAGTTTATACTTTGTACATTCCATATTCTGATTATTAATGGATGTTTGCAGCTGTTTCTTCTCTTCTTGAGTCATGCCACATCAGCAAAGAGGTCTCAAAAGCTTCACTCTATCCACATCATTAAGGTTTGCTTTAATCTGAGGAAGCAGCTCTTCCTTAGTTGTATTTTAAGTGCCTTTTGATCTGAGGGGCTCATTTTCTGACAGTATATCAGACAATGTTTCAGGCCTATTTATAAGTTTTCCAGTATTATATCAGACAGTGTTTTACTGCTCTGCAAAGGTTTTCACTGGCCAATTCTTTGAGAAGTGGATGGCCTCTTCCTTCTTCCAAGTCTGTCTTAGCAACCATCGTAGTATGACAAACTGACAAGTTCATCTTCTTTAGCTATACCAAACAGCTCAACTCACTTCCTGGTCTTCTTCAGCTGCTGCAAACTCACCATGCTGCCTCTCTTTCTTCCCCTTCTTCCATTCTGTCAGGGTCCATTTATCAGGGTTCATTTACTGTGGTCCTGATTAGAATGATCAATAGTGGTAGCTAGGCACCATCTAGTTCCCTGATCTCAGGGTCGATTAGGCCATGGTTCATGTAGGCTGTTTGTCTCATAGACTAGTTTCTTCAGGCACTTGTATCTTGACATGAGTAATGACAGTTTTTCTATAATTTGTAGATTTCCTTCTCTTCTCAAGGAAGGGCAGAGCCCTCAAAAGGCAGTGTATTATGGAGTTTGTTAGGGAAGTGGCAGGTTAAAATTCAGGTTCAGAATACTCAGGATACACTTCTTCATTAAGGACAGCCTCTTCTCTGCCACACCCAGAGGTACATCTCTGTCTGGCCCTCAGTCCATTGGCTTCACAGCCTCTTGGCCTCTGCTCTGCTCTGGCAAATGTTCAAAGCTCTTTAGCTCTGCCAATAAGTACTCAGAGACAACTCGCCTCAACACACTCCACCACCAAGCCTGCTGCTCAAAGGCATTCAATTTTCTCACTCTGTGGGCCAGGAAGACCACCACCCCAACCTTGCCAGTCTCCTGGTTCCACTGCCTCTGCTGCTGCCATTTCTCCACTGATGCTTCTTGCAGTCTCTTGCCATCTCCCATATTATGAGTAGGTTCCCAGCACAGGGAACCCAGGTCCTAAGGATATGCTCCAGTCCAGCTCTTCTTTCTTGATGCTCATAAGTTCCCCCTCACCTTGCCTCTTTATCATAGAGAAGAGCTTACAAATTCTGAGAGGAAAAAGTATAATTTTTTTTTCCTTTGTCTAGAGAAAAAAAAAAAGTCTTTGAATTTAGACTGAAGGTAAGTTGTTCTGTCTCCACATTCCAGGGTTATGTTCAAGGTTGTTACATTCTAGTGGTTTTGCCCATTTTCACTCCAGCACACCTGAAAAGTACACTATATTCCCAAGCATAGTTTGTCAGTTTGTTGTACTTTGGTGGCTTATATGTTGTTATGATGCTGGAATCTATCCCACCAGGATTTGAAATACCAGCAGGGTCACACATGATGAACAGGTTTCAGCAGAGTTTCTAGACTAAAACTAGGAAGAAAGGCCTGGTGATCCAATTCCAAAAATTAGCCCATGAAAACCCTACAGATCACAACAGAATATTGTCAGATATAGTGCTGGAAGATGAGCTCCCTAGGTTGGAAGACACTCAAAATATACGGTGACCACAATAATGGACTCAAACATACCAAAATCTTAAAGATAACACAGGCAACATTTCTTTCATACATGAGGTTGCCATAAGTTAAACCCAACTTGACAACAACTAATGAGAAAAATAGTAGCATAAGATTCCTTCTTTCCCCTTCCCTCTTGGAGGGATAAAACAGACTCATAGAGAAAAAATGGAATGGGGCAAGGGCATATAGTTTAAAACACCTCACTTCATATTAAACAGCTGTTGCTCAATAAATGTTTGTTAAATGAATTTTGAGTTTTCATTTCTTCTCCATACTCATACATCTTCCTCCATGACACCACAATAAGCAACACCTTTCAAGAATGCTCTTCAACTTGAGAGTAACTGGTTTTTAAAGAAATTGCCTACTGGAGAACTTCCAGAAATGAAAAGCTAAAAAAATTAAGGATTTTTTTCTTTAGTGCAAAATGTCTGTCCAGACAATAGCAAAACAAGATGAAAACATATGTCTTAATATGAACATTCCCTGGGAGATAAATCTGGCATAATCTCTTTATGCATTAGGAAATTGGTCTCTCTGAAGAACTTTTCTGGAAAGGAGGTCTTTTAGACATTTTTTAAAGTTTCTCCTCCAATTCGTTCTTCCCCACTCCTCTCCTTTACCTGACTTACATTTTTCTGAATTTGTTTTTCCTAATTACAGCATGGTGTTGAGGAAACGGCTGCAGAATGCCGAAAACTAGGGACCACTGTGCATGTGTTTGTGGTAGACTGCAGTAACAGAGAAGAGATTTACAGTGCAGTCAACCAGGTGAGTATTCAGGCTATAAATTTCTTCAGACAATTTTGCATACACTATGACAGACATGGGAAATGAAAAGTTCCTTTTTGACTGCCTTATTTAAATTAAATTTTAGCTCCTCCTAACTAAGGTAGTTATCTGAAGGTATGATTTTTTTTTCTTTGTGTATAATCCACTTAGCTCTGACCATTATATTTTTGTCATATATTAATCTATTTCACTCTGATCAGGAGTTTGAGCAGAGGCACAAAGTGACTGAGAAAAGATTTATCACCGGGGAAAATGGATCACTTTCTAGGTTCATTGTAGTCCTATTACTTTTACAGTTATTCCTTTTTTTATCCCTTTTATTATTACCTTTGTGAGATATTGTTTATGTTGTTAATCTAATCTTCTATAGAAAATGTAACATCAATTATGTCTATAATATAATTTTATAATATCATTGTTAAGAGTAAATATCAAGTGCTCACAATACACCAACCGCTCTAATGAACTATTACATTTAATTTATAAATCCTATTAACCTCATTTTACAGATGAGCAGATTGAGGCTCAGAGATTTAAAAACAATTGCCCAAGTTTATATATAGCTAGTTGGTGGTGGAAACACAATTATTCATTCAGCACTTTTAAAATGTTTGGTTAGAATTTCAGTTTCATGGATTAGAGGTTTCAGTATAGTTAAGATGTCAATATTTCCCAAAGAAATTTGTAAACGCAGTGCAATTCCCATCAAAACTCCAACAACCTTCTTTGCAGAAATGGAAAAGCCAATCCTCAAATTTACATGGAATAGCAAGGGACCAAACATAGCTATAGCAATCTTCAAAAAACAATAATTTCTTCCTGACTTCAAAACATTCTATAAGCCTGCACTAATTAAATGCCTGATATTGGTATAATAATAAATACATAGACCAATGTAATAGAGTTGAAAGTCTAGAAATAAATCCATACTATGGTCAACTGATTTTTGACAACAGTGTTAAGTCCATTCGGTGGAGAAGGAAGAGTCTCTTTAATAAATGTTGCTGGGAAAATTGGGTTTCCACGTGCATAAGAATGAAATAGGAGTTATGCCTCACAATGCACACAAAACAGAATTTAAAATAGATCAAGGATCTAAATGTAAAAACTAAAACTATAAAATTCTTAAAAGACAATGTAGAGGGTGAGGCTTTGGGATTTAGTGTTTAGTAATTGATTACCAGGTATGATAACAAAAGCTCAAGGAGCAAAACAACAAAGATGTGACCTCACAAAAATTAAGTATTTTTGTACACTGAAGTACTTTATCAACAAGGTGAAAAGACAACCTACAGATATGGGAGAAAATTTTCAGGAACCATATATCGGATATGTAAAAAAAAAAAAAACATATCAAATCTGTCCTGGACAAAGTGCAGCTGGAATGCTACTTGGAAGCAAGAATGGCCAGACTTCATCTCACCTACTTTGGTCATGTCAGAAGGGACCATTCCCTGGAGAAGGGTATCATGCTTGCTAAAGTGGAGAAAACTCAAAAAGTTACTGCCATTGAGTCAGATCTGACTCATAGCAACCCCTCTTTGGGTTTCCAAAGTGGTATCACTATGGAAGTAGATTGCCCAATCTTCAGTGGAAGACCCTCAACAAAATGGATTGACACAGTGGCTGCAATGATGGGCCCAAGTATGTTAAGCATTGTGAGGATGTTGCACAACTGGGCAGTGTTTTGTTCTGTTGTACACAAGGTTGCTGTGAGTCAGAGCCAACTCGATGGCATGCAACAACAACAATATATCAGATAAGGGCCTAATATCTAAAGTTATATAAAACTTATACAAGTTAACAATAAAAAGAAACACAATTTAAAAATAGGTGAAAGATTTGAACAGACAATTTACCAAATAAGCACATGAAAAGATGCTCTATATCATGAGTCGTTGTTGTTGGATGCCATTGAGTCAGTTCTGACTTATGGTGACCCTTGTGACCTAGTGGAACTGCTCTATAGGATTTTCTTGGCTGTAGGAGCTCTGGTAGCATAGTGCCTAATGCACCTGATTGCTAACCAGAAGACTGGTGGTTCAAACCCACCAGCCACTCCTCAGAAGCAAGATGAGGCAATCTACTTCCATAGTGATACTGCCTCAGAAACCCAAGGAGGGGTCAGTATCAGTTGGGTCCAACTCAATGGCACATAACTACAACAACAACAGTCTTTGTGGTGACAGATTGCCAGGTCTTTCCCTTGTGGAGCCACTGGCGGGGTGTAGATGGGGCAGGTTTCAAACCACCAACCTTTCAGTTAACAGCCAAGTGTTTAGCTGTTGCATAACTAGGGCTCTTTCATTAGTAATTATTGTGTGCCATCAAGCTGATTCCAACTCATAGTGACCATATATGACAGAGCATGCCCCTTAGGGTTTCCTAGGCTGGAATCTTTATGAGAGCAGATTTTTTCTCCTCTAAGATGCTGATATGTTTGAATCACTCACTTTTCAGTTGACAGTCAAGCACGTAACCATTTAACCACCAGGCCTTCTACTCATTAAGCCATTAGGGAATATAAATCAAAATCACAATGAGATAGCACTTCATCACCATTAAAATGCCAGTGGTCAAAAAACAAACAAAACAGAAAACAACAGGTGGTATAGTGAGGTTGTGGAGAAACTGGAGCCCTAATTAATTGCTAGTGGGAATGTAAAATGGTGCAGCCACTGTGGGAAACAGTTTGGTGATTCCTCAGAAAGTTGACCATAGAATTACTATATGACTCAATAGTCCCAATCCTAGATATATACCTAGAAGAAGTGAAGGCAGAGTTCCAGTAAGATGGCAGAATAGGCAGAAAGGTGGCACAGACCCTCTTCAACAAAGAAAAGGGGAACCAATTAACACAGATACAGAAGATAATCCTGGACCCCTGAGCCATGAAGGGAAGAATATAGAAGTGGACTAAACTTCAACTAGCAGAAGAATTTGCATGAAAACACCAAAAAAAGGAGACATGGCTGTGGTGTGGCAGCGATCCTGATGGCACAGACAGCTTGGATATTGCCAAGTGGTGGTAGGACCTAAGAATTAACCTAAAACTCGGCCCTGCTAGCCAGAGACTGCACGGAGGACTGCTCTCATGGCTGGGGAATAAAAGAGGAAGCAGCAAAGAGGAAGGCAAGCTGAGCTGTGGACTTTTGTCTGTCCAGGGGCCATAGACTTTCTGAATGTTTACAAGCAGCTTGATCATTTTGGATATTTAAAGTGACAGCATTCTCCCAGATTCCAGAGACTTA